CTCAGTAATAGCACGGAGCTATTACTGTTCTGAAAGCAGATTAATTTATTGCATTAAGCTGGCAACATATACATTTTTCAGCGGTAATGGCACTTCTACATACGTCAGCAAACTCATTTCTAAAATGGCGTGAACGTTTTAGCAAAAAATATAACATCATATAATAGCATTGTCCTGAATGAATTCTAGTGTGGGGGTGTTTTCGAGCAACACGCTCAATACACGATGAGGTACCAGGAATCTGATTTACATCTTGGCCTTTATTCTTCTTTGACTTCCGCTAACAATCTTAATCTTCCTACTCTTCCAACTCTTTTCTACTTTTCTACTCTTCTCTGCTTACTAGTTCAAGTACAGTAGCGGTTTTATAGCCAAAGCTGGACATGTTTGGGTTAGCCGACCGGGAGAGTTTCTTTTGTATACCTTATCGCTAACATTGCACAGGTTTGCTATTGTTAGGGAATAGATTAGCCTACGCACAGCCGCAAGACAAGTAACAAAGAACCCAGGACAGCTCTAACACCAGAAACATGACCACCTGTAAAAAACTAACATCTGACAATTCCAAGCGAATAACATTCCTAATCTGGCAATAAGTAAATTCGCGAGCTAAGTATAAGTTCAAGTACAAGTAAAAACAAAACATCAAAACAGGAAAACAGCACGTGGACAAAAACAAGACTTAATGAAACAAAAACTAAACTTAAAAAATAAGATAGATCCGTCTTAAAAATAACTTTCAAAATACTTCACAACACTAGCGAAGGTCACAAAACTCTGAGGCAGCATATGCCAGTGTCAAAGGAAGTTAAAATTTTTAATTTGCATTTAAGTCAACAATGATATTCAAGAAAGCCATAATTATTGTAACAGAGAAATAGCCATTTCTTTTCTCAACAGTTAAGTGTAAACAGAGCAAATCATATCCGAACACTTTTTATTTAAAGAACATCTTTACAATTCTCAAAGTTTTCATTCTTGTTTCGGGGAAAACCTTTTTTCTTGCCGAGCTTTGCACCTTTGAACAATGTTAATTTTTCCTCTGATAGGGTCTTGTCTTGTTCTGCGTCCGAGAATAAGCAGAAGTCATGTCTTCATGATTCTTTTTCTGCTTTTTGTTGGTTTATGAAAACAGCTTTCCATCGGTAGTTCGTTTCCCTTTCTTTAAAGCAGCTTGTAATCTGTTGCCTCCTCCCGAGATGGAAGGAAATTCCCGCCTTTTAGAGTGAACAATCAATTCATATTTACAAGTAATAAAATCAAGCACTCAAAAAATTAACACTCGATCTTTCCAGAAAACCGATAATTTATAATGAATATATCTCGAAAAACTTGCTTCAAGTCATTCTCGAGAGCCTGTAGCAAAAGATCGTAACGATGTAAAAAGGGATGCAGGGGCGCATCCAGAAAATTAGGAAAGGGATGGCCGCGATAGTTGCCAGCTAAATAGATACTTTTAATTTTTCTGAGAATTTTATAAAAATAATACAAGATTCAAAGAAAAAGGGGTAGCCGTGGTCCCCTCTCCCAGTCCCTAAATCCGCCTATGGGTGTTGATATCGATGGCTGTTGTTCTTCACTTTTATTCCCAATTTTAGCAAGAGCGTCCTTTAAGGTGGCTCCCTAGAGTATTTACTAATAGCCCTAGCTATCTAGCATACGTTACAGAACGAAATCTAGTTACTTTGTCTTTGCGATTTCGTTCACGAGATTCACCGCTAAGGTTACCCATATAAGAAAGCTCCCTTATCAAGTTTCATTTTCTGGATTAAGGCCGTTGCCATGGCAACATCGCATCCTTAGACAGGCAGTAATTTTGTCATGTTTGATCATTTTTTCTTAATGTTTCTTATTTCCCTCGATGAAATGTCTTTAAACTTTGCCACTTTACATTAACGATATTGCTTAACATTTTAAACTGGAAAAAACATGGCAACATGGCAACATCGCATCCTTAGACAGGCAGTAATTTTGTCATGTTTGATCATTTTTTCTTAATGTTTCTTATTTCCCTCGGTGAAATGTCTTTAAACTTTGCCACTTTACATTAACGATATTGCTTAACATTTTAAACTGGAAAAAACATGGGGTCGTTAAGAAGACTTTAAGATGGTTTGGCCAATATTTTGAAATTTGTAATTTTTCTTGGTGGAGGAATTTAGCTCTTACAGATTTTAACAAAAAAAGGACAGTACAAAGGTACTGCAACTGTTAAGAAATAAGGCAATTTTTAAAAAAAATTACCGAAGGAAACGCGAGAAATTCATGGTCAATTAACTACGATGACGTCACAAAAATCCGAAAAACACGCGTGGTTAAGGGTCGTATGAGCAAATACGCGCGCGAGCCATCACGCCCGCACGCGCATAATGTACAAAGCTACTGAAAAGATGTGGTTTTTATGATAAGTACGAAAGCCATTGTTTTGAAGCTGTTTATTAGTATTATTACGGTGATATCTCGCCAGTTAAAAAAGGAGAGATAGCGGATTCAATTTTATACCTAACCCAGAATTTTTTCTTCGAAGTACTTGACTATTGTAGCTGAAATTCGAGCCGTTGTGGTCACCACTCGTGCGGATGGCGATCATTGGTTTTGCAAGGATCGCGATAAGCCCTTCATTTCCTAATCTGCTGTACCGACTGTTTGCAGATCTTCAAATGCCAGCCCACTTCCGGATACTTTTTCAACGTTGTTACTCTTTAGGGATAATTTCGACGGCGAAGTTTTCTTTAAAAGCCTACTGTAAAAGATGGCGCCGATCTAAAAAAAAGTACATCACGTCCTCAGCTGCACGTACAAGACCGTAGTTCTCGATGGATAACCTACTATTGCTTTCGTCAAGGGTCAATCTGTGACTCAAAAATTATTTTTCGTTGTGCAACAAGATTTTCTAGTGCACCTTGCGCGTCAAAGAACTGTTGGAAAGGAAAAAGTACAAGGATGTTGATTCGTCGATGGAAAGGTTCCTTCGATCAGGATTCAAGTTAACCACCTCTGATAAGTTTTTTAAACAATGTGATCGAGTTAGCAAAACAAAACAAAAATTTACACTTGCTGTAATCTTGCCTTAAAGCCACTTCTAGAATTTGGTGAAGACATTCTTCAGTGGTTGTTCGGGACTTGGCTCGATCTTTCAGATCTTTCCACTGACCGTGAACCAAAGGCCAGAACAGTAACATTGCTTCCTTTAGGCCCCCGGGCTTTTAGGGTTAGTGTACTTATTTCTTTGTTTTCTTTGTAAAGTTTTCATTCACCATTTACTTCGACTATTTTACGTTTGTCTACTTTTGAAGCGAAAGAATTGATGTCTTTGGAAAATTTCTGCTTCGCTTTTACAAACAATTTACTCTTGTAAAGATCGATAGTGACTTGTAACCGGCGTAATCTAACATTGTCTCCTCTCATAAATGTTTGACCTACACTAACTTTTTGCACAATGAGCTTCAACAGAAAGTTAATAAAGTGTTTTTGGGGGAATATTTCGAAACAAAGAGGTCACGTTTGTTTTTTTTTTTTGCGTGGAAGTCGCGCGGGTTTTAAAGCTCGCGCCATTCTAGTGCTCAGGCTGCGCACGGCCAATTTACTCTAGGGAGCCACCTTAAAATGGACACCACCTCCGTCACCTTTTTCTCCATATTGTTTTGGCCTGTGTGAGCCTCGTGCAACGAAGGCGGGAAAAGTTGGCTTACTGCTGTCTTTTATGTAGTTCAGTCGACGAAAAGAAGAAACGAAGAAGTAAGAACATGAAAATGATGCAACCACGAATCAAGCCCATTGCGACGCCTCGCGGAAAAGGATACAACGAAAGAAAACATTTAACGACACGAAGAAATGCTAGCGGTGCCCCGAAGAAAACAGTACCATGAAACGAACGAGGGACACGACGACTCGAAGACATGGAACCTACGCCACGAAGACAGCAGACAATAACTTGAAGAACAATTTTCGAAGCGAAGAAGTGTTTGCGGAGCCATGAAAAGTAATTATCGATTTTGTGCACGATCTGACGTCATACCACGTGTTAACTTGATTACCAGCCGCTGCTCGGGAAATGAACCTACGCTCGGACAGGAGAGAGAGGCGGAAATCGAACCTAGGTAAGTGTGGACGGGACCTCAGTAGCAAAGGAAGAGATAGGGAGAAATAATATCAAGAGCAAAAGGAAAGAACGCCGACGGAGGAGAAGCTAGAAAAGCTAACTTTGGCGTTTTTGGACGAAAAAAACTGGCACGCAACGAAACTATGCTGACTAATTCTTGGCATCAGGAATTCTTTGGACTAAAGCACAAATGTTTAGCATAGTTGCAATCCTCGCAGTTTCCCCATTAATCCCTTACTGTTTCTAGTAACCCCGCTTTAAAATTGGACCTGCTCCCCTTTTCTAGATGATATGGGCTTTTATTCATCCGGAAAAATTCCTGTGAAAATTGATAGATTAGTTGTATGGGTCGGCTAGACAAGGACACGAAACTGAGCCACAGCTGCGCTGTAATATTCCTTCAAGACCACTAGCCCTGTTAGAAGGCGCTGCTCGAATCATTGTTTTCCTTAGGTTTGCTGAAAGCTCGAAATAGAAGAGAGATGTTAAAAGAATATTTTTTCCAGCATCGATTTCACTCGAGAGAAGTAATTGTTATTATCAGTGCCACCAAAAGCTTGATACATTGAAATAATGTCATCATGTTGTAAATGTCTGATGAACTGCGAATTCTTTACTCAGTATCGTATTCAGCCCTCTTTAAGCATCCTTTACACTAAAATTCAGTATCAGTAGTAAATTAGAGGAAACAACATCTTTTTTTATTTCACTGCACTAGAAAAACTAAAACAAAATAGAACTAAGCTAAACATCAACTCTCATGATATGAAACTTCTTTTTTTAAGATTCAAAATTAACAACATCCGTTAAAACCCTTCATTTGAAAAAATCTATGTCTAGTTAGAGCTGTTGTTTCTTTCACTACGGTGCGCTATATTTCAGTTCCTTGACTTCAAGCTTATCGAGCAAAAGCTACAATAGCGCATGACAACAGCATGATGGCGCTGACCATTGGTACTTTGGCTCTATTGCACAGGTCTCCTTTACAGCAGTCGATTTCGCATTTGGTGATTTTCACTGAGGGGTCGTTCCAGTTGCAGATGTCCCCGCTGCAGTCAGATGAAGTGGTACATCCTTTGCCAAAGGCTTCTTTTGTCACGCCTGAGCTCTCAACTTTTACATCCCCTTTACCACAACGGTCCTGACTGTCCGAACAGTTTACCTGTAGTGTACTGTTTTTGCAGTCATCCCAGCTCTTAAGAGAGAAACATTCGTAGCATTTCAGGGCATAACCTGGAAAAAGGAAACAAATACAAAAATAGAATTAATAGCCTGAATCTCGAAGGCCAACACATCCAACTACCTACAGTAACAATTCAATATTTTTGTTTTTCGACGCATAAACCATTTGGTATGAAATGCATATTGAACCTTTGCCCATCACCTCATTTGTTCAGCAAGCCGGAGTGCTTAGATCAGTCTATTGTGATAAAAGTAGTGCATACGATGAGCTTCGTGTAAGGGCTTAACCCCCCTCACTGCTGAAACGTAGGCAAGTCAAGTATATATATGACCTAGTTATATATCCGATATTTTTAATATAAGCACTGACCGAAGTTATAACCTGAGAAATTCAGGTAATTTTATGATTCCAAAAATAAACACCACCACCTATGGGAAACACAGTATTAGATATAAAGGCCTTCTGATATGGTCAAAATTAAGTATACATGATTAAGAGTTCACTCATCGCGAACCTCATTAGAAATGACGCTTGTAAGAACTATCACCTGTTTAACTCTTAGAATAATTAATGAGGCGGGCAGGGTTTCCGAGTTTCAGTGTTTATTTTAGTTATTTCGATTTTCTAGTTTTTGGGGGTAGTTATGTTAGTAAGGTGTCCACAATGAGATTACACTTCGTGTAAGCTGGGCATTGGACACATTGATAAAGTCTTTATTATTATTACTATTATTAGTAGAATTCAACACCCACTGATTGTGCGTAGAGAAAAGTTGGTTTTACAATGTAAGATATTCGCTCTGAGACATCCAAAGAACTGTGTTTTTTTTTCGTTTGTGAATTCTATGCTTTTACTTTAAGGTTCACAGTTTAAACAACAAAAAGATTTTTCAGTCCCCAACCGTTGATATGCTTCATGCAAGGGTGTTACGAAACCTAAGACCCTCGAAAACTAAGACCTAAGATCTAAGACCCTCTAAGTTTTCGAGATTCACGCAACGATGTTTTGAAAACTCACAAAAATGAAGGGCGACGCGGTAAAGAATTTGTGGCAGCTTTAGCCATCAAGAAATACTTCTTGTGATAAATTTCAACCAAATATGTCCTTCAGAACGAATGTAAAAAGCTTATTGGATCATAAACTGGAAAATAAATGCAAAAGTCGAGGTAAGAAAAGGTTTATAACCATAACGTGCTCTTCGCTGTGAGTTCATTCTGCTACACATGTTCATCAAATTCGATGAAATGCTTCTTAGTTTGGGTTTATACCGTAAAAGCCTTGCTTTTTTTCATAAATAAAGTGTTCGAATTTATATTTGTGCGTTTTAGCTTGATTTATGGATAAAAACAGGAAGATAACAGTCTTTTTCTGTTCATGAGTAGACACTCAACACGAGGTGACGCTGACGTATGCAAACTAGTAACTTTCCCATGGAAAGTGAAAATTAAGAGCTACAAGTAAAGCATTGCATTATTTCAATTATTTGAATCAGTTGCAGTTTATTTCAATTGTTGATATTTGACATTAACAGTGTTAAATAACTGTGCATGTAACGCAACACGCGAAGGCGCAGTAAATGCTACTTTCCATATCTCAAACCGCCCTTGGATGCCCTGTGATGCCTACACAAAGTAATTGCATATATGTTTACATATATGAGTGAGCCCTGACTATAGTGATTAGGGTTAAGCACTAACAATACTGATTAGGGTTAAGCACTTAGAATAGTGATTAGGGTTAAACGGTTAGCTTCTATCTAGTGGTTAGGGCAGGAGATTGCAGATTTAGCACTTTAGGATCGATTCCTGCTCGAGACTCGCATTTTTTTTTCCTTTAAAATTGAAGAGACTTGCACTTTGACGAGATTTTGTGAGCAGAAACTAAGTCTCTGAGTCAAGAAGCTTAGAAATTTCATGTAAATGTAAGTGAAAAGGGAGAGGGCGGTTTGAGATATGGAAACAAGGCGATCGCTAAAAACTGAAATTTGAACCAAAATAAGTGTTTGTATCAAGCTGCATTGTGCAAAAGTCCGTGAGAATAAATCAGCGTATTTATACAAGACTTAGGCATCACCAGAAACTCATAAGGGGTTGAAACGTGTAACTCTCATATGTTTGCTTTGTCCGATGCTCGTGATTATTCATTTTCGAAAGTACCATATTTGGAACGAGAAGAAGAGATAACTGACCAATCAAACTTCGTAAACAACGTGACGTAATTTTCCTTCAGGTTCCCGTGCCAGCTTAAAAAAATGGCCGACAAACGGGGGAAAAACAGCCGAAAGCCGAGAAAGCTTTCAAAGGTTGAAACCAGGAATATTACCGAAACACTGAACAGGATATTATTGCCTTACCACCCTGGCCAAACGTAACATTATGAAACCCATTGACGGCCTCGCAACTTCTTGAAGTTGTCACTTCAAAAAACGATGCCTCGTTGACCCTCTGCACAGTAAATATATACTGCAAATAGGCTTTTAAAATTCTTATGTTAAAAGTCTAGAATAAACAGTGAAAAATATTTTCGAATAAAATTCATTAGCTGCGTATCGAAAGTGTCCAAAACCTGAACCTGACATCTTCGCAAAAAGTGATGCTTGTAATGATTGTGAGAAGCAGTTTAAAAGCTTAAATTAAACTTAGATGTTGTAGTCACGATCGTGTTTTGCGTGTTGAGCTAATTTTATGACTGAACAAACTCAAAACAATTGACAGAGAAGCCGTTTCTTGCAAATTTTTATTCAAAGTCCAAAAAGTTAATCTTTTACAGCAATTTGGAAAACACTATCTGGATCGTGGATCCATTCACGCAAGTGACATCGGCTAAGCACATGGCAAAATTCAACACAAAATCCATCTCAAATCAGAGCACATTTTGTAATTTTTCTTTAGCGCCGAAGAGAAAAATTTATAAAACGTCTATGAAACATTCAAAAATACATAAATTCCCTTTCAAAAACGTAATTGTCTTGGCCATAGAGTGCAAAATGTACCTGAAAATTATGCAAAAGCTTCGCTGACTTGGTTGCATTTCAAAACAGACCATGGGCTCCGCCGTGAAGAAAACAAGGTTGAATTCCTCGAAGGACGATTTCTTGATGAAAAGCTTCCCTTTCTCCACAAAAAGAAAGCTGAGCATTCTTTTGAACTTTCTCTTTCCATTTTTTGTCTTTTAACGGTGTATTTTTAACCTTGAAATGCAGAACTCTTGTCTTAAAACATCTGCATGGTGATCGCTGGGCAGCCATTTTGTTGAAAATGGATATCCGCCACTAAGATTTCCAAATATGGTCAAAATGAATATTCACAAGCATTGAACGCGAGTTACACGTTTCAACCCCTTATGAGTTTCTGGCATCACGCAATAACCCTCGCAGAACTGGTGTTTTTTTTTAGTAGCGTCCTCAAGTTACGCCCTTTCGGGCGGGGTTAGGATTCTGATGGATAACCCACCGTGAATATCGTCACGAACGGCCCTACTTTGTTCTTTCTTTAAGTTCTTCTTCTTTTTTGCGTATTCTGTGGTGTAACTAAAACCTGTCCACGATATAAAGATTAAGAACATGCGAGCTATGGAGTGAAATTCTATTCGAATTCAATATTAAACTGGTTCATAACCCTTCGCGAGCGGATCAAATCATTTTCAGTCTTTGCTTCCGTCGTCTATGAAACGTTTTACTACCAAGGGAGAACAAACCTTGTCACACTTTCCAGAGAAGCTCTTTTAAATAACTAAAGCAATTCATCAATTAAATAAATACAACAAAGCCTGGATGAATACAAATTTAACCAGAACGCCGACTTTATTAACCTTAGAGTTCTAGGAATTGCTTGAAATATCCTGAGAAACGTATCGCTTTAATTCACGGGATTTTTTAACAATCACTTGCACTAATTCATACTCTTCGCTTACAAAAACGCAGCTTTCTATACAAAACAGGATATCTCCTGGGTTTTACGTTTTCCCCCTTGTGTTTTTTAGGTTTCCTTTTTGAATCCGATTGACTGCAAACAAAGTAGCCTCGATCTCGAGGAACAAACTTGAAATCGGCGATATACGAGAGTTAGTAATACGAAGGGGCGGGGTCAACTTTTTTTTTTTTTAAGAATTCTGTTTTTAGGGTTAGGCTTGACATTAACCCTCACCCTAACCCTAAAAAACCCTAACCTAACCCTAACTCTAAAACAGCATTCTTTAAAAAAGACATAGACCCCGACCCCGCGTTTTACTGACACCCGTGATATACATACACACATCCAAAAGTCTCAAATGAAGCTGGCTTCGGACACAGGCAACCCAGGCTTGTCACGTACGCGACCTGAATTAGTCTGCTGCGAAGCCTGCTGGCTTCGCAGCAATTAGGCTAAAACCCTAATTTGCATATTAATTTGGATAATGGGTACCAACAAGAAAAAATTAATAAAAAAATTCTGCATCGTTCAATATTTTTAGCTGATTGGTGGTCTGTTTTGCTGGATAACTAGAGGAAAAATTTCTTTCAAACCAAGTATGATTTTTGAAAAATTACATTTTATATTTGAATTTTTGCATAAATAATAAGAAAAAGTATCTTGTAATTTTTTTCAGTGAAGTATTATGGGCTTTCAGACGGCGAAATATTTTGTTTTTGGAAAGTTTATTGTATGTCCTTTCAAATGAGGTATAGCTTTTTAAGCTATGGTAAATTACTGAGGAGATATAATTTTTTTAAAATGTGTAGTCAAATTGCTGTTTGCGCGCCCGTAATAAATGAGTTAAGTATACATATTTTAAAAGAGTTCACTCATTGCGAACCTCATTAGAACTGACGCCAGTAAGAACTGTCACCTGTGTAACTCTTAGAATAATTAATGAGGCGGGCAGGGTTTCCGAATTTGTTTATTTTAGTTTTTTTTTTTTTTTTCGATTTTCTAATTTCTTTAGGTAGTTATGGTACTTAAGCGTCTACAAAGGAATTATACCTCGTGTAAGCTAAGCATTTGACCCATTAATAAAGTCTTATTACTATTATTAGTAGAATTCAACACCCACTGATTGTGCGTATAGAAAAGCTGGTTTTACAGTGTATGATATTCGCTTAAGACATTCAAACAACTGTGTTGTTCTCCTTTTGTGAATTTTATGCTAGTTCACAGTTTAAACAACGAAAAGATTTGAGTGACTTAAGCGGGGAGTTTAAATATAAGTCTGACATTTCTTATAGATGTTTTATTCTTCAGTTTCAGGGGAGTGAGACTCGTGTAAATTTAGCGAACGCTCATACTATTGATATTAACGACAAAAAGGAACGAGATATGTTGCGTGCATTTACTGTTCCTCTCGCAAATCTTAAACTCACAAAATGAAGGCAAAAAGTTTCGTCCAATTTGTCGCGCACCAATGTTGAGTTTAAATGCAAGGAAGATCATCGCAGTTAAATACACAACTTAAGCAGCTACGAAAAAAAGCTTGAAAAAAGCTTGAAAAATTCAGGCTTGCTGGCTTTCTTTTCGTAACTGCTTTGTAAGCTGCGTTTTCAACTGTAATGATCTTCTCTGCATTTATTTCTACATTCCCGAATGTAATATATGAAATTCATACACCCATCATTTCATTTTTGAGTTTGCAAGTTTAGATTGTTTGTGGTGCGACACTCTATCTTTCCCAACCGTTCTGAAGTGCTTGCGCACAATAAACGAGACCAATCATATCAAAACAGTTTCTTGCCGGACGTTAGGACTCGCGTTTGTGAAATCTACTAAAGAATCTTACAGAATTGGAGAGCATTTAATTCGACTCTTGCTTTTCGTAAAATTCATCCACGAATACGCTCACCACGCATGGAATCCTTGGAAATCAGAACTGAAAGAGCATTTGTCAACACCAAACACAAAGTTCGACAAAGCCCTCTCTTTAATTTGTTCGGCGTAACCGTGCTAAATACTTCCTAACGCGGCCGTTAAAGATGTGTTCAATTATTCTACTCAAATGCAAAAAACTGAAGGAATACAATCACGTTTGTTTCTGGCCTAATATTACATTGGCTTATTAAAATCTTTTTAAACGTTACGTTCCGAATAAAGTTAAAAATCGAGAGTGAAAATCATTGAAGTTTGTCCGGAACGTGTAGATAAGAAACTGAGCAAAATGGCGAGCCACACCCCATGATTCCGAGAAAGAAGATAAAGGACGCCAGCAAAAGGAACGGTAGGAAACTACAGAGCAAATTTCCTTTGCATTTTCATATCCTAACCTGAACAAGAAGAAACAGATTGAACAAGACTAAAATAACTTACCGACTGAAATGCAAAGAAGAAAGGCGAGACCAAACAGGATCTTCATGTTGCAAGTTCTGTGCAATTGGAACTGAAGCTGAGGGGACACTTCAAGTGGACGCAAATATCTCTGAACGCGTTTTATTGAAACACAGACGATGCTATCCACTACCCTACTTTTAAGTAGGGTAGTAAAAGCGCTTGTCAGTC